TCCGTATTTACAGCTGCCGAGTACGTTTTGGCTTTGGTATGTTGAAAGTCCCATTAATGTTCAAATTATAACTTCTCGTAACTAAGAACGCTTTTGGTCTTTTATAAACCATCCGTATTGCTCTAAAGCTTCTCTACTTTCAAAGGAAGAAGTCTCTTGTCTACGCACTAAGGTTGGCTTTTCTTTTCTCAAGCACATACTCTATGTCAAACTGGCAGACAGTAGTTTTCTGAAATTCCAATATCTGTCGGCATCTAGCCTTGTTACTTCCGTTAATCTATATAGGTATGGAGCTCAAAAGGCTATCAACTGATGTCGCATTGCTCAATAGGGGAACCCTCGCTTCTTATCATGCCTGTTATTGCTGCGGATCCAATGGCCTTATGCCCACTTAATTTCCAATCTTCTAGTTGGGCTATACCCTATGGTCGATGAACATGTTCTTGGGAAAGGATCATGCGAAAACAGCAGAACAAAAATCCAAACGTTGAGAGAGCAAAAGACAGAGTCGGTGTTCTTACCTGGAACAAGAAGCTCCGACAGCGGAAGGATAACGGGGGTAAAAGGGGACTTTTTCTGGAACCAGGCCAGACATGCGAAAATCCTTTTTGCGGATCGGGTGAACGGGTTTGAATAATCAATAGCTGAATATATCGTAGGATTTCATTCTACAGAAATGAATAGGCGAAATTAGACGAAATCACTAAAAGCAACTACTTGTTGATAACTTGCTAGAGGACCTTAGCCTATAGGGTTAGGAGCTTGTGATTAAATAGATCTCTCGTGTCTACGAGATAAAGTCGTCGTTGGGATTTTGAATGAAAGCGTTACAGATAGTACATCAACCCTTCTGTTAAAGATCCTTTAGATGCTATAGCCTTTGTAAACTCGAAACTCCAATTCTCACCATGCTTTTGGGTATCACCCAGGCCTCAAAACGAAAGGATAAAGTGTGAAAGACAACGAACGCGCGAACATAACACGAACATAACAACCATGTATACAAATGCAAAAGAACCAAGCACCAAGCATCAATTCCAAAAGTGAAATGAAGTCCCGTCATAAGAACCGCATACCCAAATCAACATAGTTAGGGCGCACAGGGGAACTCCCACTACGCGGACGAGTCCCACACACCTCCAGCCGCGGCTCATGATCAGACACATAGACCTGACCATCATGCTGAATCACAGGACCCGACAAATTCGGATGATCTAGCTGGGGGAGCGGGGGTAGCATGTGAGTCGATTCATTCAGTCGGAGACGTGCATCTCGTACATCAATGTGGTGTCCGCCAAAATTCAAAACTTGCACTGGCTCAATCTCCGGGCTCCAGCCAGGGTCGGGATATTTCAGCCTCTCATCCATGGAGCCAAGCTTTCCATGTGCTGACGCGGGCGGACTGAGGTAAAAGGGATCTGACAGGAGAGCACTACCCGCCAGATGTGTTTCGGTTGTCCAATCAGCAGTCCCGGCGAGCATCTGTTGTTGACATTGCATGCTTGATGGTGGACTTGGGGTTATCTCGGTGGGCTGTTGGAAGGTTGGGATTGGTGGAGCCCACGGGGTATACTGCACGGGTTCTGTGACCCATGACTGATAGGAGTAACCAGAAGAGTCACGCGACATCGGCTCGAGAATGGAGCGCTCTGGGGCTGAGCTGACATGCAATTTGTTATTAGATAATGACAATGCGATGGGCATGATTGCGGACGGATGAGCGACAGAAGAAGGTCTAGAGGAGCCAACGATAGCTATTGATCGTGAAGCTAATTGGGAGAATGTATTGCGGTTTGAAAGAGCGATGGAAATATTCTCATCGTACGGAAGCGGCGGTGGATATGGAAGGAGGGATGGCACGCTTGCAGACAGACTTCGTGGGATCTCCAGATGTGGCACTGAACCACGCCGAGAGGAAGCTCGGGATGCAGGCGCGGTATGTAAATCTGCTTCGGGACAGTGACTGAACATATTGTACTCGGGCTCGCTGTAGGTTGACTGATTCGGAGGCTCGCTCATCAATTGTTTGGACATATCATGGTATAGGGGAGACGTAAAGGCATATCCCGCTTGGCTATCGATCGACTCAGTGGATGGTTTCATCTGCATGCCGCCACTCAAATGCAAACCGCTAGCCGGATCCAAGGCCTGGAAAGTGGTGACGGATAATGGACGTTTCACCGTAGAGTCTCTATCCAGTCTTCGGGTGACCACATCTGCACACCTCGGCAAGTTCTCTTTGTTTGCTGGCGGGGAGATAAATGTAGGCTGCGGGGCGTCAGCGGACGCTTGAGAAATGCTAAATCGATGCACTGCAGCGAGCACTTTTTTAGCCTCCGAGTCCTGCATCAAAGAGCTCCCCGCTTCTGTGCGACTTGATGATCCTTTCCCTTGGATGGAGGACAGTTTGACCAATGGCATATCAAATTTGATTTCTCCAAAGCGACGAGAAGCTTTGTTCGGCCATTTCGCTTGATTCTCTTGATGGAAACTCAGCCTTGAGTTTCGGTTGGCCACTTGCCACTCCAATAGGCCATTGGTTGATGGACTCGATGTGGGAGGTGTGTTATTTGGTTTCTCCGTTGCTTGGCTTATTTGCGACATAGCGGGAGAGATTCGAACTACCTCATTAGCTTCCCCATCCGTTTCATAACCTTCTTCGGATTCGTACCCAGAATTTCTGAATATGTGTGGTGGGAAAAGCTCTAACCTGAACTGGGGAGGCGGCATAGCCATCTCCTCGGGAGATTCCGTTCGAGGTGACCCTAGATCACTCCAATTGAAGGTAGACCGGCGCGAGGGATCTTCATCGGCCGATGAATCGCGAAAGGATGACGATGAGCTGCTTGATCTGTCAAAAACCGACTTTTGACACCGTAGAGAGTGGGGTGAGGAGCTTGGAGGCATGTTCTCTATCTCTTTGCTTATCATCTTCATCAATCTTCGCAAATTCTCTCGTGTTTCACGAACGATGAGCGGATGGAGATTTATTGCTGCCTTCTTTGGGAAGAGCTCAAGCAGTCGTGAAGCATGGGTTTCGTACTCTCGGTAGTCCCGGACAAGGCCAAAGTCTTCGTAATGAGCCATCCGCCCCATAGCGGCATCATAAGAGGTGATGAGAAATCGAGTCGCAACAATCAACCATGTGTCGAAGAAACCAGGATCACTCTTGTTCATTATGCATTTGTTCTCCTCGTCCATGATTCGGAGCTCATCACGACAGAACCCTTGCACCACACTGTGAATCTTGACTACATCAACCACCGATTTGTGACGGTACATGGAGAAAAATCCATCTTGGCTGCTCTCTGTCATGGAATCGGAAAGTTCCAGGTCAGTCTTCCCATCTGAGCTCTTCTGATCACTCTCAAGATGATGCGCAGACGGCCTCTGCCGAAAGAGATCAGCATCTGAGATCCGTTCGATTAACCCATAGTGAATGAGTGTTCCAAGTGTGGTATCGAGATCAGGATCTTCTCCAATTTGGCCGCTAGTCTGGATCTCTAGATCCTCAGCGGCCATGGCCGCTCGACCCAGATTCAGAAGGCCTACCGGCACCTGGTGGCCAAGAAAAGAGAGAAGATTAATCAAGTGCAGCGCCTGCTTTTGCTGCAATCGAAACAAATCATTCATGATGCTCAAGAAAGGTTCCGCAAGCTTCTTGTCGGTCACCTGAGATTTGACATGATACTTCTCAATCGGTTTACCCGTTGCATTGAGACGGTGCCCAATTGCATGGATTGCTAAAGGCAGACATTCGTAGTGCTCAACTATCCGAGTAGCCTTGAAGATTTGCTCTGGCGTCGCTCGCTTTATCCCAAGATCCTTGAACAAAAGCTTACAAGCGTCTTCCACTTTCAACCGCGAGATCATCAGACAATGGGGCTCGTAAAGTCGCTGCTTTTTGCGTAGCGTTGTATCAACCGAGGTGTATATTATGCTGCACTGTTTGCTCCATGGCAAAACCTCCCTGAATTTGTTGAGATCATCATCACGGTCGAAGGTAACACCGTCAAAGACTAGAAGCCAATCTTTGTGTGTCTGAAGCCAGAGACGGACTGCATTCACGTGCTTTCCAATCTCGTGATACTCAGTGGTCATGGTCACCTTCTGTTCGATCAACGTAGCTGCTTGTGCGATCTCCCAAAAACACTTGTACGTTGATTCACGGGACTTAGCGTCAATCCAAAATATGCCGCCTGGATAGCAATCTCGCTGAGTGAACACATACTGCCTCGCAAGATGTGTTTTGCCGGAGCCTGGACCTCCAGATATCAGCACAGCCATTGTCTTTTCTGGACGTGCCTTGGCTTTGAACAACCGGTTGTGTAACACTTCAAGCTCTTTCTCCATTCCAAAAAAGGTAGCGTTAGGATGAAAGCCCGGAGGCGCCACGAACAAGGGTGAACTTTTCGCGGAACAGTGAGAAAGTTGGAGAAGTCCGCTATTTCCCAGATCAGACACCGGGGAATTTCGACCTTCTGTCGCAGGAGCGCGCGGTAGAGATGATATGGAATGGCCTATAATGAAGTCAGCCAGCGTGACCCTAAAAGAATGTGAGAACTCTCATATTGACAAGATGGGGGGCCAGCTAGTTTGAGGACATGAGATGGGAGCCACCCTGTGGACAAGACCAAGAATCTCAGTACAAAATTGAAGACCACAATATGCATTGCAAAACAAATAAGAGGAGTGGATTCGCAAAAGTATTTGGCCCTTGACTCTGTAGCGTATGGCCAAAAAGATCATAGACAAGAATTAGGTTAAACGTAGGCAACCAGAGCCTGCAAAAAATGCAGAATCAAACCAAAGACCAAACCAATTCGGCAAGCTGGAAAGATTCATCAAACAGGAAGCTCCTCAATCTCATATTCCTTCAACGTGACAGCCACTTCCGGTGCAGGGAGAAGGTATGAATCCCTACCACTGCGGTTCAAATCAGGCATGCTTCGATTCGTCGGGTCATCTACTCTAGCTGCAATAGTCAGCATACAAGCAAAAGCGCACCAAATTTGCGAAAGACTAACCGTCATAGATTTCCCTAGCTTTAGCCTTCTTTTCTTGGTTGCGGGCTTGCTTCTCTTCCGCCCAGCGCTCTGTAATCACAGTAGGAGCCTGACGCGAGTACCGGAGAATCGCCTCCGCCACAACCTCATAGCCAGCCGCATTGTCATCGTCAAACTTGCACATATGGCTGTGATCGGCCTCGATACCCGCTCGCTCAACCCCCTCCATGTACGGCGCGGCTGAGTGCTCGTCCACAATCACTTCGCGGGTACCACGAATGTCAGTGGACCGTGTCTCATGGAAGAAGTAGATGTGGAAGCGGCTCATGATATCAACAAAGAGACTGTTGATGTGTTGCAAGGTTTCATTGTTAGTCCGCAGAGCTTTGACAAGCTGCGGAGACACCTCCATGACATTCTTCGGGAGCACCGCGTTGCAGATATTGTGCAGCAACAGACCCCATTTCGCGATGTCAGATCCATTGTGAGGTGTACCAAGGAAAAGAATGCCAAATGTGGACACATAGACGGAGCGTAGATGCTCCGTCTTCTCGCTTGAGAGACTACGGGAGTATATCAGTGCGCGCTTCACAATCAAGCCCCCCAGCGAGTGGCAGATGAATATTATCGGACGGTTGGAGCAGTCTCGCAACTATATGAGAAATTTAAATCAGTTCCCGAAGCTCTGTACTAGATGAAGGAGACATCAAAGGCAAGAGCAATCAAGACACAAAAGTTGAGACATCGACCTACATTTCGATTAGCAGCGAGACTGGATGCAAGAGTCTCGGCGTGGCTGACGACTGAATCACGCGAAGCTCCATCTGTGAAGGCAGTGACATTGGCATTGTAGCCATATGTAAGAATGCGGGGACACAATGAGGCAAGCACGTCCGGGAGAAGGTCGGTAGGCCAGAAGCAGCCAGTTGTTTTGCTGGTCCAAGAGTCGTGGGGGTGACCGTTGAGACCGTGAACAAAGACAAGATCAATCGTTGGATCTTCTCGCGGGGTATAGATCTGCGTCAAGCCAAAGACCTTGATGGCCTTGGGATCGGCGACACGAGGCTTGGACATGGCGATGAATGAGACAATAGCAAAGTCAGGATGCTATCGCCATAAAAAGTGATTTGTACAGGAGAAGAAGAAGAAGAAGAAGTCAAAAGCCAGTTCGGACCTTGACTTAATAAATATGATGCGGGTAACTGGGGTGAGGGTGACGGAGGGCAACTGAGGGCAACTGGGGTGGGCAGTGTGCACCCCCCCCCTTGACCCAGGTCACCCGGACTTGTTTTAGTCGATCCATGGGGTTTCTACATCGGTTTTGAATCCCGGGTGACGGCCTGCATCTTTTTCTCTCTATCGCCATTTCGGTATTATCTTGGGTCTTGCTCATTGGTGGTTTATCCCGGGGCTCCTTGCACAGCCCTGTCAGATCGGGTAACCTGCCAGGTACCGTGCCACTCAGACCTCGAGGTCCCGTTATTCATGGACATGGATGTACCTATACATGTACAATGCTGCAATGCTGCAGCATTGCATCATTGGTATTTCTTGTTTGGGGTGTGCTGCCTTGGAGTATGCCTACACAGGCAGTGATCAGTGAGTTATATAGATTAACCATGGAAAATGAAACACACTGTAATTTTGGCCCCAGGCCATCTGACAGGATGCTGACTGATGTGTTGGCTTGTAATCTCCTTTACCAGGTTGATATTAGAGCCTTTTCATCTTTGACTTGACAGGGATAGGAACTACAGAGCATTAGTGAATTATTTAGATCAGGCGGTACAATGCGACGAAGCTTCATAGCACAGCCATGGAAATAAAAGACTCTTGTGGTTAGACTGATATATCCCTACATGCTATTTACAGTTATCGACTGAAACAAATGTGATAATTCCAAGGTTATTGCTTCTATTAGATTGCCCTTCTGATCAGAGCCATGTCCACATGATGCGGTACGGGGATATACAACTCCACCTTGAGTAGTCCGCTCCATCTCTTTAAATCTGGTTCACTTCTTCTGAGGTCCTAATTTGAATAATCCATACACAAATTCCATGGAACTACGGGATACATCGCTTTGATAGTATGGTTTACCTAGACAGATCACCTTTTTTCTACACACCCAACCCAAATCACAGAACACTACCTCCCGCGGAATGCCGGCTTCCGCTTCTCAACAAAGGCGCGCAGCGCCTCATACCGATCATCAGTCTCGATGACGGCCTCATAAGCCGCATTCTCCGCCCGCTCGCCCAGAGCATGGGCATCGACAGCCTGCATCGCCATCTTGATAGCAATAGGACCACCTTCACAGATATCCAAAGCGAGCTTGATACTCTCCCGCAGGACACGTTCGCGTGCAACGCCTTCTGTTGCCTCCTCCTGTGGAAGCACCTCCACAAGCCGATCACAGAGCCCAATGAAGTAAGACTCGGGTCCGGTCACACGGCGCCCAGTGAGGATCATGTCCCGGGCACGGTTCACGCCGATAATCGGAGGCAGTCGATATGTGCCGCCAGCACCGGGGATGATGGCGAGGCGTGTTTCGGGGAGGGCGACGACGCTGGAGGACGCGAAGACGCGCAGGTGCGTGCACAGAGCGAGCTCGAGGCCGCCGCCGAGGGCTACGGATGAGACGGCGGAGATGGTGGGGATTTCGAGGGAGGCAAGTTTTTGGAAGGTGGACCGGAGTTTGAGGAGGAAGTCTTCGGTTCTGGGTAGTGAGGTTGGATGGTTAGTTGCATGTGTTCGCGTAGAATCAAGTTCCAAGCCCGGGGCACCGGGCACCGGGTACCGGGCATCAGGCATCGGGCACAGGATTGTTTCTCACTCGGCCATGCTCATATTGGCTCGTTCCTTCAGGTCTGCACCCGCGCAAAATGCCGCGTCGGCATTACTTGCTATAACCAATGCCCGGGTTGGCCCGTTGCCTCCTTCGGCGGCGATGGCGTCCACATGCTTTGAGAGCGTGTCTAGCAAGTGGGTCGAGATCGCGTTTCGAGCTTTGGGGCGGTTCAATTGCAGCACGCGCACATGCCCTGACCCTGGGGCGGGGACCTGCTGGGTCTTGATAATATCGTCTTCTGTGCTGGTGCTGTACCGAGATATGAAAACCCGGGTAGGTACCGCGGTCGCCCGGAGGTGGGCGAGGGGTGCGCAGAGGCGGACGAGGCGCGTTGACATGATGCTTGCCATTGTGCAGGTAACAATTCAAAGACCGAGTGGAAAGACACTTGATCGCGATATTAAAGTGGAGAAAGATAGGTCACTGCGCTGAAAAGTTCTCGGAAGTTGTTCTCCGAGCTCGGGTCTGGGGAAAGCTCTTCGGCCGACGATTACCGAAAGCAACAGCACTCGAGGATGACGGAAATGTATGGGGTATTATGTACATTGACAAAGGTCCTTTAAAACTACAATATTATATACACAGTCACTGGCAGTATTCTATAACCTCCGCATCACTTGGCCAGTCCCAGCCTGTCCGGCTGACAAGGTCGCATGCCTCCACGATCGAGTCCGATGGTACCCGTGTGTCAATCCGTTGCTGTCGTCTTTCCAAAAACACCCTGATCGCCACAAGGGTTCGACGCATCATTTTGTCTCCGTTTGCATGTTCGTCTGCAGCTTCTTTCAATAGATCAGCCGACCGACTCATCCAGTGCAGCAGATGTAACAACCCTTCGTCATCTCCTACAGACCCAAGAGCCCGCACAAAGGCATGTAGCGTCGCAGGTGATGGTATTTGCAGCATTGAGGGAACATGGAGTTGTGTTTCTGAATTCATTTCTGCTGCAAAGACACTTCGCTCTGCATGCTCCGTTGTTCTAGATGCTGGGAGCACGAGATGATCGAACTGATGCTTCAAGACCTGCAGCGCGTGCTGCATCAAAGCGTCAACCTCATCATCGCCATCGTTCTTGGCTTTGAGACGACGGATACGAGCTTTATGAATCAGCATAAAACTGTGTTCGGCAGTCCCCGGGTGTCTAAGGGCAGCGTCAACGGCTTTCGTAAACGCCACGCACAAAATGCGGAATCCTTCCTCGCCAAGTTCAACATCGCGCTGTCGCATCCAGCTCAATGCTCTGAGAGCCTGGTGCCATGCTAGTATGCGCTGAAGACTTCGGCTTCTTGGACCATAATACCCGGTGAGGCGATCACGGGTCAGAGCAGATAGAATGTGGGTCCAGGCCGGGGTGTAAGGAGCACGTCGCATTTTGGTCAATTGGATCGCGTGCCATAAAGCCCTCGGATGATGCTGATTACCTGGATGTTCCTCGGAGTATGCGATAAGGTCCACTTTCGCACCGGTCGAGCAGTCGGCGGCTATCAATGCCGGGAAACGGTCAGCTGTAAGAATATTTCGATTGCCGATGTCCAGACTGGCAATATCTGAATGGGTGCACAGCAACTTGATGAACGATGCAAATACAAAGTCTGGCAATTTATGAAAAGCGTCAAGGTCTAAGGTGTGGTACGTGCGAGACTTGGCCCGCACAATAGAGAGCGTCTCGATTTGGGCTTTTGCAAGGCCACTGCATTGGAGGTAATCCAACCCCGAACGCAGAGAAGTAGCAGACTGAAGTAGTAGGCCGAGGAATCTCCCGGAAGGCCGAAGCCCCCGTCCGCGCATCTGATCAAGAAACTCATCCACGCTAGGTGGTTCCGTGGGCACATAAATGATGTCACGAGCAGAAGCTGGTTCCGGGTGAACTTCGCGGCCATCGCCTGGCAAGGCATGACTCAGTTGGTCAAACTCGCTCTCTATGGTGTTTCGTCGGTATATTAGCTTTTCAGCCATGGCAGCGTATATGGAACCCTTTGGGGGCAGGCCACGGTCCTGATATGAGAGGAAGCACGCCCAGGCTTCACGGACAGTTCTTGTAGAGCGAATACGAGCAACCCACATTTCGTGATGATTCGTCTTGGATCCATGTCTGTCCGGTAAAGCTTGCGGGCGACGCATCATAGCCCTGGTCTGCACCGTCGGACTGTGATCTGTGTCCCAGCCCGCCAAAATCGAGGATATGTCCTCCCAAAGACGATGAGAATAGCCAGCATCTTTCATTTGTGAAAGTACCTGCATCGCACGACTGAACATCCCTTCATTTCCACGCTGAGAATCAATTCCCAGTTTTTCTTCCTTCCAGGGAGGCCAGGATGGAGCTTTTAGTTCAGCGGACTGGCGCTCTTCGAATGTTTTCTTATGAGCCAGTTGGACTGCAACGACTGCTCGATATCCTTGTCTTGTAACGGGAAGGACGGGTTTGTGGGTGGCCATGGCTCGAAGAAGCTCAAATTGCGCTTGCTGTTGGATAGATGTTGAGCGGTAAGGAGCAATGTTGGCCGGTATTGAAAGTAACCAGAGACATCCATTAAATTTCGAGGTTTTGACGCGATCATCATGTCGAGTCACCGAAACTGACCTCTTGGCGTCATCCGCCCTTGGGATTGAGAGGAAGCGAGCGAATGCACGTGCAATAGTAAGAAGTGATTGAGGCCACACGCGCCGAGCATGACGGATTAAACGAACTACCAAAATCACGCAAGTGCCAGTATCGATTTGAGGGCGGAAGTCCCCGGGGAATAGCTCAGGATCTTGTTCGACAACTCCAGCAGAGGTTTCAGCGATGGGAAAGGTATGTCCGCTCATGAGATGTAATGAGTGGATTAAGAGCAAACGAAAAGTGTGAGCATCAAGGTTTTGCTGTCTCAAAAGATGAAGCGAAATAAAAGGCGGAATGCTCGGACTAGTCGCGCCAGACTTGGCTCTGTCAGTTTCGAACAAGAACAGCCGTATCATTGCTTCGTGGGTATTCTGGCTTTTCATGATCCAGGCCCAAGCAGTCACATCGGCGGCATCGTAGCCACGCGATAAAAGATAGTCATGATTTGTGTTTCTGAACACTTTCTGGAGAGCTACGTCCAAATCTTTGTTGGAACGCTTACCCGACGTACAGGAGAGTAGCGAGTCCACCTCTCGAATATACTCCCCAAGAATCACCGGCAGTGACGGCTTTTTTGGTCGACCAACTGTCTTCAACTGGTTCTGTGTTTCGTGTGCAATTTTGGGGTGAGCTCGGTCAAGCACGGCTGATTGGCCATTATATCCGAGGGCGTGGCCAGCATTTCGCAAAGCTTTGGAGAGATATTCGGCGGGCTTCGGTTTCACTCTAATGCTGCGGGTTTTGTTGAGCCTTTTCTCTCCGAGCGTGCTATTCACCGTGTGTTGGAGCGCTGTTGCGCATTGTTCTTCGAGTGAGAAATCTGGCCGCTTGTTTTTGAATTGATCGACGAGGTGTAAGGGTTGAGTATCGATTGCAAATGACTCGGGCACATTGAGGAATGCATCGGACTGAAACGAACGGAAACTGCCTGAGCTTAGGCTAGCCAGGGAATTGCGCGAGTAGTGTACACAAAACTTGGTTTCATAGTGGTAAATTGCCTTGAACATATCAAAATCATTTAGCACTGTGTCCAATGACGGGAAGAGTGAAAATAAAATAAAAACGAATTACCTTGTATAATTGACTATTGAGCAAGTCTGCTCTTAGCCGCGATACTCCCGAAAGGCTTCGGGCATACTTGAAAACTGATGACATCCATCAACGTAGTCATGGGTGAAAGTGCCTGGACGCCACAGACCCATTCAATGAGCTCAAAGAGTTACTTGTCGCCGAAGATGAGAGAAGTCAAGTCAAGATTCAGAAAAATACAACAATTGCGCGGCAGAAAATGTGGCCACGTGATCAATCGTCAGAAGGCGCGCCATTCCGAAAAGCGCAACCCAGTGAACGTTCTCTCCAACAAAACAGAAAAAGAGAACACTTGACCTATTTTTCAAGGGTTGCCTATTGCATTGACCAATTTTTCAATACTTTAGTCTCTATTGGCAACCATTTCCACCTGATATTCACTACTTACATTGTGGTGACGTGAAGGTTTTATCTTCCTCTCCCCTCGCTCTTCGCGATCCCCGTCTTCTCGAAGGATTCGCTCTTACGCCCTACCCATCGAGGTCACTTGGACTCCAGTTGCTTTTCGAGCCAAGCACCAACCTCAACATCAAATCGCCAGCAAAAATTAATTTCCACGATCGCATCCTTTCAGTCTGTACTTTCAACCAAATTTGTGGACCCCGTCCATTTGCATTGGAGGGGACCGCGTCAAAGCAAGCATCGTGAACCTTGACCTCGGCGCGACTTCGCAACCATGAGCGCCGACGAAGCTGGAGACACAACCCCCACTTCCACCACAAATGGCGAACCTCATCCCGACCCTGCTACTAATGCAAACTCTGGGAAACGGAAGCGCTCCACTCAAGACGACAAATCGAGCACTGAACCAAATGCCACTGCCTCACGCGATCGAGCAAATCTCCATGAAACTTTGCGTAGCCTGATTGATCTTCTTTTGAAGTAAGCATTGATAACATTAAATCGATCTTACTCTTTATGCTGACAAGTCACAGGCATGACACTGAACTCCAACTCCTCTCGTGCCCCTTCCCAAATTCAACCGCGAAGCCTCGAACGAAACGCGCAAAGATTTTCGGCGATCTGGAGACCTCCAACATCCAAACACGCGTCAATTCGGGCAAATATAACACATTGCAGGAGTTTCTTTCTGACATCGAAAGAGCATCGGCCGCTGTAATTGAACGCAATCAGGCTCAGGCCAATAGCACAAAAGAAGACGGTGCACCTTTGAATGAAGTGGTCAACCGCATCGCAGCATTCAAAAAACATATGAATAGCTTGATTGGCCAATCTTTCGTCAACCAGCCCGAGGTCAAAACAGAGACAATGGAAGACGATACCGACGAATCAACAGAGCTTCACGCGATCAATGTCTGTCAGCGAGAGGATAAGCCTGCACTGACACTCTTCGGAAATCCATCGAATCCCAAGCAGCTATTCTCAAGTCTTCAGAAATCGGTGAAGGTGCCGTTGCAGTCCGAATCGGGACCTGAGAAATTTGTTGAAGTACAGGAGGAGCTTCGCGAGGTCGCCCTGCCTAATGGCATCACGGCCACCAAAGTAATTCCTTTCAACCTTGATGCTGCATCTCAACCAAAGCGAACATTTGGAGAGGTATTTGCTCCACGCGAAACATTACCAAAGCTAGAACCTCCGCGCAAACGATCTCACCGGGCTAATTCGAGCACATGGACGGATCGCTTCGACGCCACTTTCGATGTCAGGACATTTTTGGGAGAGCGCAGCAACTACTGCCTAGCACCCCTTCCTTCAATCCAGTGGCTCCAATACGGCGGAGTCACATCATCGCCTTCCTACTGGGATCGTGTAGAAAAGTATGCAGATTCGGATAATGTTCATCGACATGGCGATCCTGCTCTTTGGACTGGGCCCGATTCGTCTGCTTTCCAGGGTGTATTCTCATCATTTGCTCCTTCTTACGACAGCTCTGGTGCGATTGTACAGCTCGCTTCGAAGGATATGGTTTGGTGGGGACAACGGGGTGCGAATCGCGTGAACAAGCTGCTGTCGATCCCATGGGAAGGAGACATCAAGCAAAAAGACAAACAAACCGCTCAGCCTGGCAATATTGGCGAACTTGATGAGAGCATTCTAGATGAAATGGTTGAGTCATTCAACGCCCAAGACTTTACAATTGACATCACGGCAACCGATCCGAGTTGTGAAGTCGATCCGGAAGCAAAAGAGATCAAGCAAATGCTCGAGGAAGTTTCTGACTTGCTCAACACTCTAAGTTCCTACCAGCGAATTCGAAGTCTCAAATACCCCTCTGATCTCCAGCCGCCTGGTCAACAAGTGCCTGACTCGAATGAAACCCTTGCTATTGATTCAGGCGATCTGAACATGCCCTCTGAAGCAGAGACACTCGTGTATGATACACTCAAGTCTAGCCTTGCTGCAATCGTCTGCAACCTGCCACCTTATGCTGTCGCCAAACTGGACGGTAATCAGCTGGCTGAGCTGAATATTAGCCAAAAGGTTCTAGTTGAAACTCCTGACTATAACGGCACCATGGAAAAGGATGACTTCACTCTGTCACAGGAAAGGGCTGCAGCATTGCTCGCTGCAGCTAGTGCCGCAAATCGAACTTCAACGCCCTCTACTGCACGGCCTAGTAATTACCAAGGCTCTCACAATGCCTACAACCAACGCGCTTTTGCTTCCAATGCTCGCGCTCCAAATCAGTCGGGGTTCCAGGTCACGCCACAGCACGCACGGCAGCCCTCGGCACCAACTACATACACGCATGCTTATGGCGCGGGTCGTCCACCAACTACGCCCAGTCAACGCCCAGGCAACACTCCTCAATACGCGCAAATGAACCCGCAGTACAATCAAGGCAGCCAGGCTCCCCAATACCAGCGCCCTGCTTCTAATGGATTTGCTCAAGTGTCTCCACAGCCATACACCCCACAGGCCAGGCAGCCAGGCACATTCAACGCCACGCCACAGGGGCGTGCGCCCTATGCGACTGCAACCTCGAACCAGCGTGCTCAGTTTCCAGGCCAAACTCCTTCACAGGCCGGCTACTCAAATTCCGCGGCTAGTTCCACGTACTCTCGCAGTGCGGCTGAACAAGCTGCGCTGATGGACAGGAACAAGGCACAACTGGCGGCTCGACAGACAGGTCACAGTTCTTCAACCCCTCAACCTCAAGGGCTGGATGCCCGTGCTTCCCAAGAGGGCAGCATGACACCAGGGAGCAAACCGAATGGCACGCCCCTTTCGACGTGAAATGTGACACTTATGCGAATTTGAGCATGTCCCAAGTCCCGAATTCAAACGCGGTTTGTTTTTAAAGAGAGACAGAGCCCCACTACGACTTTTCTCCACCGTCGACCTTCTGCGTCAATGACTTTTGCCTTTTTCCTCTTTCAAATTTTTTTTTTTTTCGGATTATGAGCTCTGGATGCGATCCGCGTCTCTGGTTTATTTTTCTCCCCAACTTTGTTGTTAATGAGCCTCTTGATCCCTGGCTTTGTATGGTTTTTCTTTGTTTGGTGTTGTATTATGGATCAAGCGATTGGCGTGGATGGTTTTACTTCAAAACAGGTCGGCCTGGGTTTACCGGCTGCCATTGCAATACAGCTAAGTCTTGCTTAGAGAGTTGTTTCTATTTTTTTCTGCTTCCGATGCAATTCAATCAAAATTCTGCATACCAGTGCAGCTAGTGCTTTCCAGTGTAGAGATTCGGCCATTTACGGAGACATTGACATATGAGCTTATAAAACCTTCATAAAATCACACATCATTAATTTGATGTTGTTCACAAAGATCACAAGGAGTTGTGGAAGAAAAAGGTCCGCTGAGGTATCATCCAGTCCGCTGCATCTCCTGCCCAATGCTAATAGTCCATTGCACACCAAGCTCAAGATTCTCGTCTGTCGGCCCCGTCCAGTAATCGAAGCAATCGCCCAAAAAATAAAGTCGTCTCTTTCTTAGGTGCCCAGCAGCAAATACCCTTCCCATCTTCCCTTGATTGAATAACAACAAAGAGTATAGTGACATAGAGTGTTCATCGCCCAGGAAACAAAAAAGATTCATAAATCATAAGTAGTTGATGCAGACAGGATCCAATGCTAGTTGATGAAATAGACCATCGAGTCTATGGAAGGAACATAGCAGCCATAGCCATAAAGCCGAAGTATCTAAAAATATAAAGGTCAGTCTCAAGCCCAGCGACAACAGAATTGAAGCAATCTTACATTGTAGCACAGCGCCAGCCATCTCTCGAGTCAACTAGCGTGTCAATACCAGACGAATAATTCGCCGCTATGGCCGCCGCGGCGCCACCAACGACTGTCACAACTACCAGACGACCAGAGAACTCCACAATGAGGCTGAATGCCAATAACGGCAGCAGGAGCGCACCAGACGCTATTATAATGGCGGTGTAGACAGGTGCTACGGTGGCAGAAGCCGCCTTTTGCGGAGCAAGGGAGACCAGATCCGCGTCGTGAATTTGGAACTGCGTCTCGACCCCAGCGACGGGTTTATGGTCTCTCATCCAACTGCGATAGCTCGTGATTTCCTGCTCCGAGGCCTGCGGGAGTGTCTGTAAAACTTTCCTGTAGGCGCTGAGAGCGTTGTCTATGTGCTGCGTCAGGTGGTCTGTTTTGTAGGATGGTAATGTGGAACGTGAAAGGCAGAGACTAACTGTATTGTCCGGTCTTTTGGATCAAAGCTTTCATGAGATCCATATGACGGTAGTGTAAAGATGAATAGGCCTGGGACTGGGCGTCTCGCCGCCGTGAAGCCGGTAAGGGCTTTGTGCCATCCTGCTCGGCCATGTTCACTCGATGCATTTCTTCATACTCATCTAGCGTCTGTAGATCTTCTTCCATTTGGGAGATCTCGTCTTGGAGGTGGAGAAGAACGCGGTGGTTGATGGTCTCGAAGCGTCGGTATAGCGGAGGGAACGTTCCGCTCTCTGCTGAGGGGGAATTGGTTAGGTGTGAAGCTACAAGACCGTATCCAGATGGTTCTTGCGATACGTTTGAGTCTCGTCTCTTTGTCGGCGTACAGTGAAGACTATCTTCTGGACTTCTTGGAGGAGATGGTGGGAGCGGTGGTCGGGACAATTCCAATTGGCCTTTTCCAGGGGAGAAATTTGTGGTCGATATCGGGCTCGGTTTTCTAGTGGGTTGTCTCTTCCGAGCAACTAATTGATTGCCCGCAGAAGGCGCGGGTGATGGTGCGGGCTCTCGTGCTTCTTTGGGGGAGTTGGACAGCACTAAAGCTGATTGGATGACTTTCTTCGACGGTGTGTTTCCTCCTGAGACCAACACTCCATGCGACACAGTATTCGCCCGTAGCTGGGGAGACTGAATTTTGGCGGTGGCTTGTGTTGGGCGTGGAGGCTCCAACTCCTCGTCGGATTCGGATTCAGAGTCCGACTCCGACGATGCGGATGATGAGTCTGAAGAGGATTCCTCATTTTCTTCCAGGAACTCAAATACATCAGGCAGCTTCTTCGCCGGCTCTGCGGGTTTCCGTGGTGGGATTTTTGGAACGGCAGGCGCACTGAAGGCTTGTCTTGATCCATTGGGCTGTTGTGAAGGGAAACTTTTCTCCACCGTTTTGGGGCTTGTGACAGGACCCGTCTGTGCGCCTGTAGTATTCGAAACCAGCGAGTATGTCCTCTTCCTTCCGTCCTTTTTTAGCTTTCTAGTTTGGAGCGGCATGGTGATCGGAGCAGTTCGGAATCAAACCCCGACTCATCCCTCTTCAAAATGCAAAGATCACACCAGGGTGTGCCCGGGAGGAAAGAAAATGGGAAATGATGTACATGATATCAATCGCCGTGATGAAGGAGCATAGGGACCCAAGGCATGGCGTAGGGGGATGGCTGGAATTCCAGGTCTCAGATCGAATCGACTGTCAAAGGCCCAGAATCGGTGGGGGGGGGGGGGGGGGTGAAAAGTAGCACGATATGTCCCATTTCCCCGCGAGTTTCATCAGACATTCTCCAAGATAAGAGAGAAGATGGTGTTATCATAGAAACACAAAACGTCAGCCCTAGTGGCGAAGTTGGAAATAGGTTTTGGTGTCAGTTGCTGAGAACAAGCCCAAAGTGCTATGCTTGTCGAAATGGAGTCGTGCCATTCGTCACACCAGTCAGTTCGGGAACAATCTGAAGCTACTAAGAAGCGCTGGGGTTTTTATTTGGATCGACCAATGACAATGGTGTCGCAAGGAGGTTCCTTGTATCCCTGTCGATCGACCTCTTCCTCACGATTCCAAGCAAGAAATTGGTAAATTGATGAGGGATTGCCAAGTTGCTGAACATTCTGAACAGTTCAATGTGGGCCAAGGTGTGACAGCAAATCAGGCCTCCTGCTTCATACACAATGAGGACGCATGTATGTCTGAAGTTAGAAGGAACATTTCGTTATGCGCTGGTCTTCCTTGCATCTGGCGGTCTGGCGAAGCGGGGGAATGTGATGCAGATATGTGAGCAGTGTATGTTGCCTACACTCTGGCCAACGCCACTTGTCTGCCGCATTGCGTGCATAAAGCATGAAATGTCAAAAATGGGTTGGAGTTGAGTAGTCTGAAGGAGTACCCGAAGAATTGGAGGATAGAAGGTTAAAGGGGAAAGTGAGATAATCAACCATTTAGCAAAGAATAGATAGATCCATATGTAAATTGATAGCTTGAAATACCATGATTGAGTAAAGAGTGACGACAATTTAAAGTCTCTGTTATACCTACCACATGCAATCTAAGCTGCCGCTTTTAAGAAGTGGGCTCATGTTGAAGCCCACTGAGTACATGTCAGAACGGGCGTGGAGGGTCACGTGCTAGTTCTCAGCTGACTCCGGTGGACCTGTTGATCAATGAAGACTTGTAAGTGATCTCTGGACTTGACGGTGAAATTAGATGGGTGAGTGCCCTTCCGTTTCATCATGCGGGAATGCGGGAATCAAGTACAATCTAAGCAGAGAGGAATTCGAAATCCATTGTATCTCTGTAGACTCCACCAGTTCATCTTGGAACGGAGATTGGTCTGACAACCGAAGATGGCCGACTACTTTACTTTGGAACTGTTGAAGAAGAGACAGAAATAGGGAGCATGTTATTAGGTCGTCAGATAGGATCTATGAGGGTACTTGAGAATAGGTGAATGTGGGAGATGGGGAAATCTTAGGGCTTAGGGAAACTTGCTGTGGGGGATGAGCCTATACTGATGTTAAACCTCTCAGATTTGGAACTACTAAGGGCGATACTGTCTTCTACTATACTTAACACTCTGGCGAAACCTTACCTCTTAAACTAATTATTAGACATGGACAGGATTGAGAGCTCTACTAGTGGACTTTGAGGATAGACTCAGGTGAAGAAGGGTTCACATAAAGCCATCATTTTTAGCGGGAAGGCTTTCAATGTGAACTCGATACAAATCTAATAGGGACAATCATTATACCCTCTGTTTCTTGGAATTTTAGGAGTATTGTAATCGGGTAGAAATGTTACTTGAAAATGGTGGATTTTTGGCCCTGATGTCCAATGATCTGCAGATCGCCAAGTCCCCCCGAGCCGGAGCTTCTCCCGCAAATTCACGTCTGTCAAGGTTTCAACCCTCGAACAACCCGAGTCCAATCTCTCTATGCTTCGGTCATGGATTGGCAGCGGTACGGTCCGCTCTTTGTGCGTGCGACGCGTGACTCGGTCATCCATTTCATCCCCTAAAGCCCCATTCTCCTCCGCACCAAACCGTGATCTCCAACCGCCAGCCTCCGCAGATCGCGTTCCCCTCCGCAAACAACTCAAGCAGGAAGCCAAGGCGCTTCGGTCACACAAAAAACAACGCAAGGAAACAGAGGAGGCTTCGAGGCAAGAATGGGAACTGACGGTGGGCGTGGAGATCCACGCGCAATTGGATACAGAGTCCAAATTATTCTCCCGTCAGTACACCTTGACACCCGAAGACTACGAGTCATCTTCTCATAAATTGCATAGGGGCAGCAACATCGACAAGTGATACACCCAATTCCAACGTTGCGTTGTTCGATCTGGCGTTCCCAGGTAGCCAACCGGTCAGTGCTAGGGTGTGCAATGCTGGAAGAGAGCGCCAGGGCTGATCTGAAACAGGCATTCCAAATCGCAACACTCCTACCGGCTCTCCGCGCTGCCATTGCGCTGAACTGTGAGATACAGCCAGTCAGTCGGTTTGATCGGAAACACTACTTCTACCAGGATCAGCCGGCGGGGTATCAAATCACACAATACTATGGTAAGTTACGTTCCTCTTCAAACCTGGAAACGTGCTGACCTGTGCTCTAGAACCATTCGCACGAAATGGCTACGTTGACCTGTTCGATTACGACGGAATCGCCCCGGAGGACGGGGAACGGGTTCGGATTGACATCAAACAACTCCAGTTGGAGCAGGACACAGCCAAATCCCAGGAATACCCGCCCTCGAGCCAACTTCTTGACTTCAACCGGGTGTCCCATCCTCTGATCGAAATCATCACCATGCCGCAAATCCACACTCCGGCAACGGCCGCGGCATGCGTTCGGAAACTACAAGCCATTGTACAATCGTGTGGTGCCGTGACTACGGGAATGGAGATGGGCGGTCTCCGTGCAGATGTCAACGTCTCGATCCGACGCCGAGGCGAAGCACCCGGGCAACATCAGTACGATGGGATCAGCGGGCTGGGTCAGCGTACCGAAATCAAGAATCTCAGCAGTTTCAAGGCGGTAGAGGATGCCATCATTGCGGAGAAGAATCGTCAGATTGAGGTGCTCGAGAGTGGGGGTGTCATAGAAGGAGAGACTCGTGGTTGGACAATTGGCAGTACTGAAACGCGCAGACTTCGCGGCAAGGAGGGCTCGGTCGACTACCGCTACATGCCTGACCCTGATCTCCCACCACTGATCATTGGAGAGGATCTGCTCTCTAGTCTGAGAGAGTCTATCCCGACAGCCCCAGACGCTCTTCTTACCCTGCTCGTCGGATCCGAGTTTAGTCTGCCCATCGAAGATGCCAAACCACTCATCGAGCTGGACAACGGAGCTCGCTTCGAGTACTATCACGATGTGGTGGATATCCTCCGCAGTCTTCAGATAGACCAAGACGACAAAACACGCGCCAGTCTCGCGCGGGTGGCAAGCAACTGGGTTCTGCACGAGCTAGGCGGTCTCTTGGCCAAGGCAGACCAGACATGGGACCCAGATGTCGTCCCAGCCCGGTCCTTGGCCCACCTCATTGACCACCTACAGCGAAAACTCATCACCGGCCCGACAGCCAAGCACGTGCTGGTCACCATCTTTGATGGGGACCATCGACCAGTGCCACAGCTACTAGAGGCGGAGAATCTCCTACTGCGGCCGTTATCACGGGAGGAGTATCTAGCTCTGGCGGAGTCTGTCATTGCCTTGAACGAGCAGATGGTCGAGCAGATCCGCAGCAAGAATCAGCTGGGTAAATTGGGTTGGTTCGTGGGGCAAATGATGCGCCATGGTGAAAAGGGCAGGGTGGAAGCTCCCAAAGCAGAAGAGATTCTCCGGGAGTTGATTCTGAAATAGCTTGTCCAGCCCAGGATTAAATGTATTCTATGGCATCAATGATACCCTCATGACTATGACCAATTTCAATCTCTCTCCTTGTACTCCCGTAGACTATCTAACTTCCCGGACCTCCGACACTGCCCCACGGGCCTGAAAACAAGACCGGAAATGAAAGGACAGAATTTCCCGTCTATAGCTCCTTATAACAGGTCAAGAGAAAGCGTGTGGGACACCGAATGGCCCTAAAGGGGGGGGGAGCTCTCCTCAACCTGTACTTAACGGAAGTGATGGAGATCCAGCGGAGTCGCTTTGATCGCTAAAAGCAGTTTTTAGCGACTTCGCGGGCACTGCGCAAGGAATGAAAGCACTGCCCCGGTTGAAGTCGGGGCATTTTCAAAGATACTTTGAGACACTTTTGAGATATTTAAGAGGAACAGTTATCCTCTCTTTCTCTTCAACCAAATCTCATCGACATCATCCTGACCTTGTCTTATCGAGCCTCCACTTTTTTCCATCTTATCTCGACCTTCGATAGACCCTCGTTCTTCTTGCTTCAGACCTACAACGGGTAGCTACATACACAATGACACAGCCTTCAACGATCACTTCGAGGTTTCTCCCACACCCTAACCAGCTTGGCGTTGTGGCCGTTGGTTTCAATGGCGGTCAGGTAAGACAAAATCGGTGGACCCGCAGCTATAGATCAATGAATCAGGCTAACCCAACTGTTCACAGTGCAAGAAGGGTGTCGAAGCGGCCCCAATGGCCCTCATCGACTCAGGCCTCCTAACCCAACTCAGCGAGGACCTCGACTACGATGTCCACCATGACAACATAGTCCACTATTACGAAAATGACATCCCCGCCGAAGACCCCGACCACCGGGGTATGAAGAAGCCTCGCGCTGTCAGCGCCGTGACCAAAAAGCTCAGCACACAGGTCTACAACTATGCCAAGGACGGAAAATTCGTCCTCACTCTCGGCGGCGACCACTCCATCGCCATTGGCACCGTCTCCGGCACAGCAAAGGCAATCCGCGAGCGGCTGGGCCGTGAAATGGCCGTCATCTGGGTCGACGCCCACGCCGACATCAATACACCCGAAACAAGCGGCAGCGGGAACATTCACGGTATGCCCATGGCATTTCTGACTCGATTGGCCCGAGAGGAGAAGAAAGATATCTTTGGCTGGATGCAGGATGCGCACATCGTGAGCACGCAGAAACTTGTCTACATCGGATTGCGCGATGTCGATCGCGGCGAGAAGAAGCTCCTGCGTGAGAATGGTATCAAGGCTTTCAGTATGCACGATATTGACCGGTATGTTCTGTTTCGCTTTCCCGGGGTTGTGATCTTCATGTTAACATCTTTGTCCTATGCTAGTCACGGTATCGGTCGCGTTGTCGAAATGGCTCTCGCTCACATCGGGAACGACACTCCCATTCACTTGTCCTTCGATGTCGATGCGCTGGATCCTCAGTGGGCTCCTAGCACCGGTACACCTGTCCGTGGTGGCTTAACATTGCGTGAGGGAGACTTCATCTGTGAAGCTGTGCATGAGACGGGGAATCTGATTGCAATGGACTTGGTCGAGGTCAACCCCAGCTTGGAGTCTAAGGGTGCGTCGGAGACTATTCGAGCGGGGTGTTCGTTGGTGCGAAGTGCATTGGGTGACACTCTTCTATAAGAAACTCGTTGAATCAGGAATAAAAAAGAGAATGTTCAAGAGGCTTTGGAGAATTAGTTGCGAACCTTCAAGTCGATCAAAGTAATGCTGCCAGTCAAAAAGTGAGCTACGTAGTACTCCGTACGGAGGACAGAGATGAACGACACTAAATTCCCTGCCACCCCAATTTCCTGAATTTCCTTCTTCCCGGCCTCTTGTGTTTTTTTTTTCAAAGGGGGTCTTTGATTTTCTTCTTCTCTTCACCTTGTACGGAGTACATCGTGGCCTTTTTTTATCTCATTCCGGAGATTTATGCGCAGTTGTAAATATCCCCGTCGCACCAACTCCCAGGGCCTTGAGCGCTCACGCCCAATGCGCTGTCTAATCCACGCTTCACCAGAAACAACCCATCCGATTCTACCAATCCCCTCGGACTTGACTCACGATCTGACCATCCAATCTCAAGCCTGCAACAAAACATAGGGCATCCAAGCCTTCATCGGGCAGTATAGAAGTATCACCAGTATACAACATAAAGTACGACACACTCCCCAGTCGTATTCGAGCTCCCATCCCCTGTCGCAATTACAACACACATCGCCAGTACTTCCATTCATATCCACATCACACAAACAACAAAATGGCTGTCCGCAAGCGCCACGAAGTACGCCGTCGCTATCACTGGCCCGAGCTCCAGCTCAACATCTGGATCATGGTTGGACTATCGTGCTCAGCAACTTGTCTTGGGATTTTCTCTTGGTTCATGGTTGTGCAATCGCAAATGCACCTTGGGACTCCATGGTAGGTGGCGCTCTTTATATCTTTGCTACTCTGTGGACTAGGGTGAATTCTCAAACCCCACACGCCACATTCTTCCCAAGTCAGACTTTTGTTATTATACATCTACTAACGACATCCAGGCTCTTTCCTTACATGGTTGTATCCAGCGTACTCGGTGTATGCTTCATATTTCTTATTATGGTGCTTGCCTCACGGCATTTTCTCTTACCGGGGATTATCATCATCGGCAGCTTTATTCTCTTTGTGCTGTGGCTGACGGGTCTGATTGAGACTTCGCTGCAGCTGTATGGGGTTGTCGCGAACGTGAATGCCAATTGCCAGATCTGGGTGAGGGACAATAAGGCTTGGGGGAATAACATTAATACCTTGGCTTGGTTAACGCAGAGTACTATTTGTGAGTTCGATGTCTCGGCTTATTCTGGTGGTTGACTGACGCTGTTAGGCAATTGCTGGAAAACTGCCTTTGCGCTGGAGCTTGTTAATACGATTTTCTATCTTTGGATGATGATCATGTCGTGGCAGGTGAATCGGGATTTTTATGATTGATTGGATTTTTTTCATGACTTTTATTTGTGATACCACTTTTTTGCATCGATGGCGTTGGGAGCGATCTAGCATATAGGCTTTGAAGGATGTACGGTTCAATCGGACAGGAATGAAATGAGGTATTCCTAGATACTATATGGATCACCATTGTTGATCCAGACGGAATCCCAAGTGGTTCATGAGAACTCAATTGTACATACAACTAGCGACTCACAGATACACAAATTCCAAGGAACTACAGACAAGAAAATAAATCCAAAGTCCAATAGACCTAAAAAAAAACACCGTCGCTATGCCAAAAGCGCATTGCAACTGCACACACACACACCCACCCACACCGGTTATGGCACGGCACAAAGCAGACACAAAAGAGAATCAGAGATGAAAGCACAAAATCAGGTGCTTTATCCATTCTCAGCTGCAGCATCGGCCTCTGCTTGAGAGTCGTACCCTCCACCCTCAAATGCAGCAAGCATTTCCCGTTCCAGCTCGTCATCATCGTCATCTGGATCGGGATAGTCGGCCCTTAGAGCACTGCCAGTTCCTGCCGTTTCGGAGTCAGACACTCCTTCCACAACTGGTGTTTTTGGAAGGTCTGGGGAAACCTGGTCACTGCTAGAGGCAATGATCGATGTGATTTCTCGTAGTTTGGTGTTGCGCTCGTAGGAGCGTTTGATGCGCTGGGAGAGCCGGGAACCCGGGTTATCATGGTCATCTCCGTCGTCATCTCCAGATTCTTCTTCGTCGGTGCCACTTTCGGTTTCTTCGTTGCGTTTACGCTTCTTGCCTCCTGTGGATGGCTCATCTAATAAAGACTCATTGTCACTTTCACTTTCATCATCACTACCCAGGAAATCCTTCAGTTCATCGTGTACGGCGGCTTGCTCATCGGCATCATACCCGATTGGCGATGTCTCGTTCAGACCAGATGACTTGAAGATGTCTTCGGCGTCATCTTCTTGTGTCCATTGAGACCCTGTTATATCCTCATCTGTGGACGAGAGCATGGAGGTCTCTAGTTCGAGTTCACTTGGGGTCAAGGGGTCGCCTCGATCATCTGGGTGAAGTGGGAGAAGATAGGGTTCTTCGTCCACGTGTCTCCACTGAACCAACGCGTCGACAAGCCATTGTGTTGTCACAATCTTGATATTGGGATAGCGAGTGGCTTCTCTCACCTTGGCCGTGCGGTTGCGCCCGGCCACGAGATGAGTTGTGCGGGTGTTGATCCTTGACGAAATCGTCACACCAAAGCTCTTCGCCCACAGGGAGATGTCTGCATTTTGGAAATCTATGCCCAGAGGAAGGACGCCTGAAAATACCAACACTACCCCTCCAAGGATACGCCGTTTGATCTGCGGCATGATATCCTTCACGTCAGGAACCAGTTTGAGATCCACGTCTTTGTCCCTCGAGTGAACCTTCTCGCCCCTTAAAGCTGCCACCCGACCTCCAAGAGCGAGAGTCCGCCTCTTGTCATATTCATCATAGAATTGAAGATGCACTTGTTCCAGGCGGTTTTGCAATTGGTAGAGTTCTTGATCGTGATCCTCAAGCAGGTGATGCCGATGTTTCGCAGGTTCCTGGGCTTCTTCGACGCTAGATGATGCATCACTGGTTTCAGCGATATTATCCTCTGCCTCCAATTCCTTTTGCTTCTGCAATAAAGGCCGATCCTCCACCTGATGCATTATTGTCTCTTCTTGTGCATCAGTCTGTTCCTGGAGGAGTCTTGGGCTGTCTCCGCCTCCCATGGTCACCAGCTGTTCTAACGCTGAGATCTCGGCTCCCTCTTGGGATTTACCATTGACATGATGTTCCTGGTTGTTCTCCGAGGTCTTTGCTTCGATTTGAGACTTGTTCGCTCCAATATCTTCCTTCTTCGGGAGGAAACTTGAATTGATGTCACCAATTCCGACGAAGAAGTCATAAGGCGAGACCTTGATAAGATTGGGACTCCATCTCCAGATATCACCACGATCATCAATGATTACCACCATCTTTGTGTCCACCGGGAACAGCCGTTGCAAGTCCTTGACCGTCAAACTTCCGCTCTCGTCACGACTAAGAATTCGGTCACCAAAGAGCTTGCGGGTAGGGTCAATGATATCAACGATATGTTGGGCATAAGCACGGGTACCCATGGTGTAGATGTGCAACTCATAAATTTCGGCCACGTTTTGCAGAAATTCCTCCAGTCCTGGCCGCAGCTTGATGTAGTACCAGCAGCCTCGCATACCAGGTCCATCGTCAATCAATTGAAATTGTCGCACATCCTTCACAGCTTCATGGTTCGGATTTTGTTTGTCTTCTCTCCATTCCCCCACCGTTGGATCAACAGTGGCATGGATGATAGTTTGATCAAGATCCACCACCAGGGTCAAACGCCTCGATGCAAGTAACCGGCGCTTTGCATCTTCTTCAACTCGGGTTGCTTCCCGTTCGCTGACCGTAAGTGTGACGTTATCGTGAGCCATGGAGATTGGAGCGCGCATGGAATCTATGATTTCGGTGTTGTATGTAGATCTGTTCACGCATCAGGCAGTTAGAAAAGCTCTTTTCCTGCTGAGAGACTTGTACAAACTCAGTCATGTCCTTTCCACACTCGGCGCAAAGTCCTCCAAACTGGATCTCGTGCGCGCAAGGCTCATCGATTTCAACAACATTGACCCTAGCAACAGATTAGACAATTTTCGACGGTAAAAAAGACAAGGATCAAAGTTCTCACGGTTCATCAATGATATCCCCCTTTTGGATTTGCCATTTGACGACCTCTCCATCAACAGTCGATTCAAATCTAGTCGGGTATCTACGCTTCACCTCGACGGTGTTCCCCAGTCCATCACCCTCAGTGACGGTAGTCTGATAGACATACCAAAACAAAGCCTCATCCTTCTCAACCGTGTCACCAGGCTTTTTGAGCAGCGACGTCACGGTGATCGGGTAATGTAGGCTGGTGGGCAGACGGAGAAGCATTGTTGCTCTCCGTTCGCCGCCAGGCGATGTGATGCACTAATGCTCAGTTCTTGTCCTGCCGCTCTCCTGAAGTATATCCTGTGCCCTTGGTTTGTTGACGGCGCGCGTTGAGGGGGTGTGGGTCAAAAGGATTAGTCGCGTGCGATTCCGGCTATGAAGTCATCACCAACACGCAACGCGTGTAGAGCTGAATTATATCGTGTTTTAGTGGTAGGATTTCAGCCTATGACTCAGTAGTCTAGGCTAGAACGGTGGAATAGGTAGATGTAAATGATGGTTTAAGTAGCGCAATAATAATCGCCACTCCAGGGCGCGGATGGGAAGAGAAAATCGTGCGCCTAGCACAACCTGGCGCGGAGGTCAGAGGCAAATCACACACCAGGCAGAGTAAGTCGCTTGGGTTTGAGGAACACGGAGAAGGTTGAAAGAGATAAATGCAGGCTGCGATCAAAGAAAAGAGAAGCTCATTGAAGTTGTGCGGGGACTCGCTCGATCCAGGTTGAAACCTGGAGCTACTCCCGCTTATGTCATCTCGGTACTTGAAAACCGGTATCTTCTCTTGCCGAATGACGTGTGATCTACTTGAGTTGAAGTATCTTTATTTTTCCGAATGGAATGGTCTGACAAAATGGCTTGATCAAGTTGTCCTTAAGTACTTTGATTTTATTCTGAGTAATAGTAGTGACATCCCACTTTGTTTCTCTGATTACATATATATTTCAGAAACTTGACGGTAGCTTGATGCTTGCCTGCACCTAACCAAGCAAAAGCTCCAGCCAGTTTGTCACTCAAGTTGTTACATTTCGAAAATCTGCCGAGGAACCTAGTTCAAAATGCAGATACTGAGGCCAATGTTAGGGAAGACTTATTCAACCACAGATCCAAATGTAATAAGTAGATCTTAACCAATAAAGATGTCAATTTGCAGTACCAACGAACGAAAGGCCTCACGATGGGGCTGTGCCAGTTAAAAACAAAAACCCTTAGCACTAGGCGAATGTAGTGCGCTATGAAACCATACGTTCAACCCAGAAGCCACATGTATATACGAAGCAATCTCTTGGTGTCATTTGGTTCTTTGATATTCACAGCTCACGGAGCCATCGAGAATTTGGGCACTTATTTGGCCTTGGCGAGACCGACGGCGTTGTTACCGACATCATAAACACTGTACCAGCGGCGCAGGAAGGCATCACCCAAGATTGCCAGAGGACCCACAGGCTCAGGGAAGTCCATGCCCATGAAGCTGCTGATGCAGGAGCCCTGGACCTCCAGGATGTAGTCGTGGGGGCCAATAGTGAAGTTGTGGCCGCCCAGTGTGAAGGTGAGATCGGGCAACGAGTCGCGCTTGTCACACTCCACACTGTACTGACCAGTGAAGCCCTTGGTGGCACCAATCTCCTTATTCCTGTGGAATGAGTCAGCAAAGAAGGTACAGAGACAAGGTGAAAAATCAACCTACAAAAGCTCGGCCATGGTGGAGGGCAGGGCGATGAGAGAGGTACCGGTGTCCAAAATGACACCGGTGTCGTCAAGTTCGGCTACGTTATTGCCAAGGGCAATGGAGTTGAGCTCAACCTCCCAGTACGCCTTGCGACGGACAGGGATCTTGATCAGCTCGCCAGTGTAGTGGCTCTCATCGATACCACCGAAGGTGGCCACAGAGTTATCGCCATCCTTGTTAGCATCGCCAAGGTAGAAAGCAAACACAGGCTCATCCACGAGCTTCTGTTTGATCATTTGATAGAAGGGAGGGACCATCTTGTTCACAGAGATGGTATCATAGCCAAGGCCGAGAATACCATCAAAGCGACCGAAGGCAAACGCCAAACCAGGCTCGTTGGTAGCTTCCGCGAAGTCCTGTCCTTCAACCTTCAGGTCACCAATTTGGAGGGTGTCCCTAGAGACGAAGCCACTCAGGCTGCCAGATCCATAGCGAATCTCGAAGTCGGTGCCATTCTTCTGATAGGTGCTCGACGAAGACGAGTCATACTTGCTGTGAAGGAAGCAGGCAATAGAGCTGCACTGCGAAGAAGGAACCCACAGGTTGGAGCTACCGGTATCAAGGACAACCTTGAAGGTCTGGGGAGGGGTACCGATCGTGATCTCGGAGAAGTCTAGCATGGTCAGCGTAATTGCTCGGGAAATAACTCTTCTGTGTTGACATCTTACACTGAGCATTCAGGAAGTTATCAACAAGCACGTCATGGCCACTAGCAGGGTTTAGGGAAGTGTCATGGAACAGGTCCTGGTGCTTCTCGGGACGAATGCCCATGTACTTCTGACCCAGGTTGTGCAAGTGAGCATCGATGTTATGTGTGTTCTATCAATGGGTCAATTTCTGAAGTATTCTTAGGGCAATAGCGACGATCATACCAGTTGCTCAGACAGAGGGACCTTGTTGAGCTTGAGCCTATGAACCTCGGCGGCAGCACTGCCCAACAGCGCCGAAGCGGTTAGGAGAGTGAATGACTTCATCATTCACGATGAGGAAAGAAAGTTGTAGATGGTTTCAGGGAAGAGAATGACTTGTAAGAAGGAATCCCGGAAGGAGAGAAGAGATAAGAGTAAATGGAGTGGAGGCTGGAGAGACGATGACGGAAGCGGGAGGGTCACACTAACCCCCTTTGGGCGATGGACTCATGACATGGGGTTCTCAGGCTACCGGGACATTCCAGTTCCTGACGTATACATTCATTTCTTGTTTCTTCGGGCTAATTTCTCACTGAATTACTCTTTATCCTCTGTACTATGTTCCGTCCAAGATTTAGCCTCAGCAGGGGAAGTGCTTTGGGCTGGTGCCTGGGCGTGGTGAAGCGCCATGATCGGACTGGTCGGAAGACACCCCTCCCGGCGTGCCTGGCGGCTGCAGGATAGTTGATGTGGCAAAAGGCTACGCTCAGATGTAATTGTTCTACAGCAAGGGATCGTGCCCGGCTGTGATACGCCATAAAGATTTGGATATGTACGGAGTTTCAAGGGGTTGAAGCATGTGTCTCTGCAATCCATCTAGCCCGGAGACCAAATCCATCCCCAAAGAAATACTCCACACAGTGCCACTGGGAGCCCGTGCCCTTCCGAATGCTCAAAGGCTGCCTTGCTGCGAAGTTTGATAGAATAATCGTGCTGCATACATCTTAGTCTTTGTTTATGGACTGCTTGATAGCTTGTGTAGGCACCAAGGCCTTCAATACTTCTCCGTGGTGTCCTGAGGTCTAAATGATCCATGCACACCCTCTGGGTTGATGCTGACTAACTATTTACACCCCCGGTCCCGGAGGCGCCCGGGCGAACTGATTGATTACCTATGCAGGTAAATGATCGACCTATTCTGGGGATATAAGGTACCTCCACGGAGCACGCCTGGGGTTGAACATGATTGAATTAAAAACTCCACCTGCTCAATCTGTCTACGTCCTTTGATCGGTTCTCTTGTCGAGCACATAGGAAGTATCCTAGAGATATTCTATGAACCAAGCTAAAAAAAAACCCTAGGAAAGATGGAATGGAGGTGGAATATTCGGTCTCTTTCCTCTCTGGCACACTAAATGCCATTTCTTTTCGTTTTCCCGGCTATGTGAGGTGCAGTCAAGTGTTTTCAAAGAATCTCAAGAAATATGCTTGCCGGCGCATAGATAGCACTGTAGGTTGGAGGCAAATCTTGCAACTTGTCTTCTCCCATGTCTGTGGGTCTGCCACGCCAAAGTTCCAGTACTCATATGGGGAGGAAGTGAGAGAAGCACGAAATCATCCGCGACGATATCTGGTAGAATCACCTGAATTACAATGGAGGATTCTTTTCCATAATGCGATTCTAGCACCCGAGAGAATCGGCGTGTTGCCACATCATCTTTATCAATAGCTGGGCTGCTAATCGTAGTCACAGTACGGGGAGCTATCGGGGATCCGTAAACTTCACGCTCTTGTCGTATATTGCGCTCCACTACGGACTTCGCAAGTTTCTGGGTGCTTTCCAGGAATGTGTGCACATCACCCTAAAAGTCGGCATACTCTGGGATAATGCTGGCATCAGCACCAGCATGAAATGTTCCGTAGCCTATTTTGCCGTAGCCTATCACAATAGGCCCCTTGGGAGCCATTTTATGGCCCACAATGATCTGTAGACGTGTGAGAATGCTCACAGCCAGCATGATTGGATCTATCCCTAGCTGGGAGGTAGCGACATGTGCGCCGTGGCCATGTACACGGATATCCAGCAAGTCCAGATAGCCAAGAACGCGGCCGGGTTTCATTGCAATAGATCCGCTTTGGGTCGGAACGCAGTGTTGTGCTAAGCAGACGCTAGGGAAGGGTATTTTGCTGAGTAGCCCGTCATCAGCCATTGCTTTAGCGCCTAGCAGCCGTTCCTCGTTTGGTTGACATAAGATGATCACAGTGCCGAACCAGAACTTCTTGGCCTCATGCAGCAGCGCTGCCACCCCAAGCAAGCAGGTCATGTGGCGGGCGCAGGCATGTATGCCACCTTATTTTGATACCATCAGCATCGACTTTCTCAACTCTTTTTAGCGTCGGGCAAGCCTGTTTTTTCCGTCATAGGCAATGCATCAGGCTCAGAGCGCAGGAGGACATTTTGTCCCAAGCCATCACGGAGAATGTGAACCATCCCACAGCCTCCTGTTCCACGCTTAGCTTCAAAGCCGAAAGCTTCTAGCAGGTCTGCTATGGCCGTTGAAGTCCGCTGCTCCTGGCATGGAAGTTTCAGGTTCTCATGGAGGTCCTGGCAGATTGCCGCATGCCTTTCAACATCAGGGAAGAAGTCCTTGATGATGTTACGATGTCCATCTGACGCAAGTTTGAGTTGCATCGTTAGTATTTGAGACAGTCCAGTAGGTTGAATGACAATCAAAGACTCCGGGTGGGAGAATAGGAGGGCTGAGGGTTGTTCAAGCGAACCACATGATCTTCGCGTACTTCGTGCTGCTCTGGCGTTTTACTATTTATTCTTGCGTCCACATTCTCATTCAAGTCACGAACAAAATGAAGATTCTTTTGCCACGTCAAATTCCACTTTTTCTCATCGAGCGGGGGATTTCATCTAAAAAGCCTAGTGTTGGTTTGTAATTCATCTATCTAAACTATCGCACCTCTTCATTTACCGAGACAAAGCAATAAGCAACACTTTCGCCTTTGCGAAAGCAGATTCAACTGACCCTTTAAAATATGATGCCAGTCTGAACCCCGAAATTGTTTCTGGATCAAGCAGTGACTCGACCTACGAGAAGCTCTAGCCGTGGAGGTAACCCTAGCCACAGTACATGATGAACACTGGCCATCTTGATTCCAAAAAAAAAATTATCTTGCGCCCTGGGTGTCGTGGGGAGCGCTTCACCAAATCCAAATTGTTTTGTTGACTGAACCAAAGTCCTGTAAGTAGATGATCACTCTCGGTTCTTGGAACAGTTGAGATGGTAATAGACATTGTATTTCTTCACTTTCACATTGTATACCGACAACACCCAGAAATTGCTCTCAGTCGCAGAAAATCCGATCTGATCTCGGGAAGTTCTATAACCTTGCACCGGAAGCATCCTATACTCAGAAATCAGCAAAAGCAACTACGTCAAGCTGGAATGGCATATTCATGTTACTATTTTCACTATAACATACAACCTCGGTCGGATGGCTAGAGAAGCAGAAACCAGTCTGTTAAATTTTGTTTAAAAAAATCACAACAAGAAATTGTTCGGTTTCTCTTTCGATGCTCCCGAGGACGTACCCAATTCCACATGTTCAAAGATCTCTCTCTCTCTC